TTTTTTTACGCGAGACTGACCGAAACCTCTATTTGAAGGCGGAAAAATGAATACACGCATATGTGTGTATGTGTGTATGTAAACATGTGTTCAAAAATATTTTTTAAATTTTTGAAATCTCAATTTTATTATTCTTGTTACTGACAAAATTGACATATGTAGAGTTAGCAAGTTAACCTTCGAAAATTGCTGAGCTAAATATTTAACGAGTTAACTTTAATTTTACACCCAACCATTGATTGTGCAAGCCAATTTATCAATTTAACCGGTAAACTTCGAGTTATATAGATTACCTGCTGTTATGCAAGTGGGCCTAAAATTGTATTAATATTAACATAATGATTTGGCGAGTTGTTATCGAATTTAATATAAAATTTAAACGTTTTTAAGATAAGATATTAATTATTTTTAAAAGGTAAATATTAATACAACTATTTTATTTATAATCCCAAATTTAGAATATAAAATCTCCCACACCAAAAAACTTACGATTGGGTAACGCCGCTTCGAATTTTTCACAATTGAGCAATTGTCAAAAATCTGCTTTTTAATCAAAAGGTTGTTTATTGAAACTACCTTCTTTTTTGTATCATGCTGCCTAGTGAAAACGAACCCTAAATAAGCAAATTTTCTCTCAGCTTTTATGAAATTTGTTGAACTAAGAATAGCATTACAATAATTTAATTACTACCACCGACACTGCGGTTTGAATATATCGTCGCCCTTATGCCAAAAACATGAATGTATAAAAATTAAAATGTTGGGAAATCAAATTTTACAAAAAGTGGAAGGATTTGTTTGTTATATAGAAATTACTTTCTCATTTCGCTTTTTGATCTGACATGGTTTATATATTAGCACCTCTTTTATACCCCGAGATTTGGCATATCTATTTTTGTGGCACAAAAAAAAACCCCATTCTGTGAGGATCAATAAATTCAAGCTATACATATCGCCACCTGAAATGCAAACTAGTAATTTTTAGCAAAAAAAAAAACTGACTTCAACTCCCATATAAAAAAAAATATATATATACATATATATATCTCATGATCCGCTGATCGGATCTTAACGAGATTAGTATGGGACTACCTCTGAGACACTACCTTTCCGATGCAAAAATTATCGAAATCGGTTGACGCGGTCCAAAGTTATGCGGTAACATCAGAGCTGTGTAAGTGTGAAATCATTTTCAATTTTAAATCAACAATTTTTTTCTATCCAGTTTTCATTACTTATTCTTCGCTTAGGATTGAGGTTTAAAATTTTTGAATTTTCCATTCTCTCAAAGCAGTTATGAATTCACACATCAACATATTCATAGCAAAATTGAAAAAACCAATGCCCAATCAAAAAAAGGTTTAACACTGAATGAGTATTGAAAAGGCTGCAATCTTTTATGTGTGTGCATTCTTTAACTCAGTACCAATCATTAGTTCAAAGACACCCTGGTAAATAACTTTTTGATAAAAAGGAAGATTTTTGACAATTGCTCAATTGTAAAAATTCAAACCGGCGTTACCCAATTTAAGTTTTTTGGTAGAGGGGATTTTATATCATATGTTTGGGATTATATATAAAACAGTTGTATTAACATTTACGTTTTAAATATAATTCATGTTTTATCTTGAAAATGTTTAAAATTTACATTAAATTAGATAACTACTTCGCATAAGCTTTACATTTAGGTTGATAAAATTTTATTGAAAATATTTTAAAAATCTTAGTGTCTTTAATAAAAAAATAGCTCATCATAAAAATTGTATCGCCGTTCGGCGTCGGCGTAAGTTTGTAGGTCCCTCCCATTTGTGTGACAGCAAAGGCGCACGCTAAAAATCGGAGGAGAAGCTCGGCCAAAACTTAGCAAAAGTGGCAGGCCAAAATATGATTATTATAAATAAATTTAGTTTCAAACAGGTCGCAACCCTCTTCAAACACCTCAAAAGTATTCCCAATATTATTTAGTTGTGAACCCGCATGAGTCCGAAATTACCATTTTTTACCAGAATTTCCAGATTTTACCGGAAATCGTACTTGGTTTTCTGGCAACTGAGAGGACAAATAAGAGAGTACGTAAGGTCATCTCTTTGTCAGAAGCTACCTGCTGGAAAATTCTGGTAAATCTGTCAAAAGATCCGATGTAGTGTGTTTGACAACCAAATTCTAAACAAAAGAGAAGTGCACTCTGCTAATGCAAGTTGAAAAGTAAATAATTCCTTGCTTGAGTGGATGCTAATGAGTTTTGGTTAAATTACAAAACGCTTAAAAAGGTATTAGCCGTAATTTTACGTTTAAAAACTTTGAAACTTTAACATATTACCACCCTATACTCTATATGTGATTGACCATTGAACTAAATCGTTGTTTATTTGGGTAAGATTAAAATATATTTTACTATTCAATATTGGAGTTGGTGTGAAACAAAAATTAATAATTTATTGTTATGTATGCAAATGAGAACTACAATTCTGAGCTTATTGAGCATCTCTTAGTCAAAAACAAAGGCAATTTTGCTTGATCAAGTTTCGAATCTAAGAAGAAAATGTTTTTAACAAACAAAAGGTTAATAATAAAATTTGAAGGATTTAAGATATTGCGTATGGTAGCATGAAACGTCACAATCTTCTTAATTGTCAGGCAGTTGATATGGCTACGAAAAAGTGACAATGGAAACACATAGCTGAAGATTTCATACTTACAGTGGGATAAACTTCAAACCTCTAATATAAATTAGTTAAATTTAGTTATTATTTTTTTTTAACAATTTTAAGTTTTCGTTTGGAATAGTTTTCATGAACTTATCTATTAGGAGATCTCTTTGGAAAATTACCGTACATCCGATATCTATTGAAATTTTGACATCCTCACTTTTTGGAAAAAGAAGTTCAAGATACAAGTTTATGTGCAAAAAATAAATTAAACAATAAAAGTCTCCTTATTTTTATGGAACTTATAATAGAAAAATTTGTATTTCATTACCCAGACTTTATGAATAGCCTACTCTATAAGTAATAGTAGAAATTCCGAATTAGTAAGTTCAGTCAAGACGTCATTCAAAAGTTTTGAAGAAAATCACTTTTCTCTTTTGTGAAAATTTGGGACTATCTTCTGCGAGTATTGTCGACAAAATGTTAGTCTATGAATGACTAAAAATTAACGAATAAATGGTTAATCGCGATTAATGATTAAAATTAATTAAGCGATCGCTGTGGTGTAGTGGTTAGAAGTGCGCACTACCATTCCGCAGGGTGAGCGTCCGAGCCCAGTTCCGGCCAACAAAAAAAAGAAAATGTTTTTTGTAATAGTGGTCGGCCCCCGGCAGGAGTCGGCGTAAAACTGTAGGTCCCTCCCCTTTGTGCGACAACATCAAGGCGCATGCCACAATCGGAGGAGTAGCTCGGCCAAACACTAATATATGTCGATGGTCCTCTGCAATAACGGCACAATTCAAAATTTCAGGTTTAGAAAAATACATAATTTGAAAGCTTACAGTATGACTGCATATAATCCGGAATAATTACGTTCCAAGACATATTATTGCTAAATTACGAAACAAAAAATCTTTAATTGGCTCTACTGAAATATATGAAATTTTTAGTTGTGTCGATATGTAGGCGCCTTTCTATTATTATTAGTAATCATCAATACAATTTCAAATTACATAAACCCAGTCACAGCCCTTTTTTGTATTCGACGCTTCCAGAAATCACATAATAGATAAAATAAATAAAAGCTGTTTTGATTAATATTACATAAACTGGAAACTGTTAAAAATAAGTGCGCTTGTGTACAGAGATTTTAGAACCTATTTAGTTCCTAAAATGTCTGTTTGCAACACATAACAATAAAAATGCACATCAAATTGGTAAGAATGATGAAGGAAATCGATTCAGACATGCCTGTTTAACTGGCACACACATGTTAATTAAGGAGCTATTCAAGTATTATGTAACCACCAGTGGAAAGCGGGGGTCTTGGTTTCCTTATTTTTAATAACAACGGGCTACATTTCTTCAAATAAGTAAAACATTAATTACACACGCACAAATTTTGCCTGCAATTTCGATCACAATTGAACACTGCACTTCACTCTCGTTTCGAATTTTTGAAAGCGTTTTTTAAGCTATTTAGTGGTTTAACACTTCTTGTGGGCACTTGATATTGTAAAAAAAATATGCGCAATTCGATCCCTAACTACATTTTTTTGTAAAGAACGCCCGTT